ATGTCCTGTGCAATACTGGGCATACTTACAGTAGACATGTATTTATGGATTATCTGAAATGTCACTACACTGAGTGTCCTGTATTTCATCTGGCAACTCTACAAGTACTAGCCCTCAAATAAGTGGGCTAGCTTTGTTGCTTTGTGTTGTTTTGTTTCTGGAGAAAGGGATGGTGGCATTATGAGATAAGAACCTTTGAAAACCTTGTGTTTGTCCCCAACAACATGCTTTGGTATTCATAGACTTAGGCACCACCTAGAATAAGATACAAGCAGAATGTCCCTTTCTCCCAGTGACTTTTCAAAGAACCGAGTTCTTCAGCTCTGAACAGAGGACACGGCAGAGGGGAACTTCCTTGTTAGCCACAGCTGAGCAAATTCATCAAACAAAAGAAGCATTCAACTCACACTTTACATCACAACCCCCAAAACTTCAAGAAACTCTATGTAGAAACCAAAAACAGGGATGAAATTGTATCCAGTTCATCTTGTAATTACGAAGTTCTATTTCCTGTTTTTGCTCCTGGGAGAGAGGGAGGAAAGACACGGAGTGGAAAAGGGGAAGAAAGGAGGAAGAAAAGGGGCATAACTGGATGTGCTTGCAGCAAACGCTGGCTGAAGACCAGCAGAGTGAGAGGCAGCTCTGGTCTCAAGGAGAGACAGCTGGATTATGGGTGGGTACACACAACCTCTCAACACAGGGAGGAAGTGTTTAGACAACATTTTCTGCTGTACCCCAGAAGCCAGAGCAGTGCCTGGAACACGGAAGCACTCTATCAGTATTTGCTGAATAAACAGCGAAGAGAAGCACTCAGACCTGGGGAGGCAGTGGGGGACCAGAGATGGCTCCTCAAAGGCGCTGGTGCCTAATGCTTTAGATCACGGGTGGGGAACGTCTGGCCCGCGGGCTGTATAAGGCCCGAGAAATCATTTGGCCTGGCCCTGCCACGGCATTAGGGGTGAGTTAATTAAATGTTTGACCAAATATAACAGGCTAATTTTTAAGCTGACAGTTTTGTATAGCCCGTGAATGATATTCTAGATATCAAAGGGAAGAGAAAGCAGAGCATTAAGGGGTGAACTGGGGGTGGTGGTGAGTGAGTGGGGAGATGAGTGTGGACAGCTGCTTTTCTGGTAATGAATGGAAGAAATGAATAGCTTGAGGGGGCTATGGGGCCAAGGGGGTGCCATTTCACAGTTAAGACCCATAAGACAAAGAGATGGAGCCACAGCAGGGAGACACTGACTGCACATCTCAGACTAAAAGTTGCCCCAGGAGTAGGGGATGTCTTTTCTCAACTTCCTCTCCCTAGTATTCCCTCCACGAGCCCCATATTCCCTAGAGTACAAACAAAGCATGGCCCAGCTGGGTCTCAGGACCACTCCTGAGTGAGTGGTGCTGCTTCCGAATTCAAGGAGATGAACATTTCAAGAGGTAAGGGACTGGGGGACTCAATGCCACTTCATTCATTTAAAAACACAAAACAAAAACAGAAACTGCCGTGAACTAGGAAGACACGCGCTCACACAGATCACTATTCTGCTGGTTCCTCGAAGGTCTTGTGGACTCGGCAGGCAGCCAGGAATCTCCAGGGAGATAAATTACGAGTCACTCAGGAATTCTGCTGCCTTGGCGGTGCCTGGCCCACCTTCCCAGGGACACGGGAGAAAAGGCAACTCCGGGCAGAGCCGCTATTATCTGGGTGTGGTGCAAAGCTATGGTTTGGTGTTGTTGTTTTTTTTTAATGTCTTAAGGATTGTGTATCTTCACTTTAAAAATATTTTTCTATTTGTTAATATTCCTTTAAAAATTTTTTAAATTAAATTTATTGGGGCAACATTGCTTTAATAACTGTATACATTTCAGGTATTCAATTCTATCATACATCATCTGTATGTTGCATTATGTGCTCACCACCCAAAGCCTAGTCTCCTTCCGTCACCATATATTTGACCCCCTTGCCCCCTTCTTGCTCCTCCCACTCCCTCCCGCTTTGGTAACCACTATTCTGTTGTCTGTGTCTATGAGTTTGAAAAACCATGTCTTTTGAATAGAGCAACTCATCCCTCCTTAAAAAATATGGGACTCTACATCTCTGAGTAACAATAGTCTATTATTATTTCTTTAAACCAGGGGTGGGGAACCTTTTTACTGCCAAGGGCCATTTGGACACTTAGAACATCACTCAAGGGCCATACAAAATTATCAATTTAAAAATTAGCCTGCTATATTTGGTCAAACATTTAATTTACTCACCCCTAATGCCTTGGTGGGGCCAGACCAAATGATTTCTCAGGCCTTATACGGCTCGTGGGCCAGACATTCCCCACCCCTGGTTTAAACAAGCCCCATAAAGCAAGCGATAAATGACTTATTAAAGATACCATTTGCATAATACTAAACACTACACTAACATAAAACTGAAAAAAACATGCAAGCTTTAAAGTTTATAATAGTCATACTCCATTTAAAAAGAAACAGTATGAGAAAGTAGTTCAATATCAAGTGCAAACTGGAGCCAGGGCAGTATTGGTATTCCTGTTGCTCCCTGAAATAGTTTTTTGGGTCAGAAATACACAGTGTGATTGGAGATGGCCTACGGGCAGATTAAATATAATGGAACCAAAAGTCCACAATGAGGATCACTGAGGGCTATGAACAGTTTTATGTACACAATAAATATTCTCATTATATAAATGTGCAACCAAGTGAACACTTACCTAGAAAAAGACAAGCAATATCTCTTACACACAACACGTAAATGGACTAATCCAGCCACCTCTCTTGAAGCTAGGCTTTGACTAAGGGAAGAATAAATTCTTGAGGTAGCTTGCTTAAGTTAAAAATATAAGGAGAAAGTAGCAGCTCTTTACCTGTTGGCAGGAGTGGTGGCAGCATAGCATAAGGTGTATGCAAGTAGCTTGATCTGATGGACAGCTGCCTGGGGCAATCTCCCGTCTCTGATGTGTGTGGAGATAGGAAGACTTGAAACAGTATGGCCCACCGACCACTAGCATGGCAAGAGCTGCAGCATCTTAGAGGCCACACCAGAACCACTGCACCAGAATCTGAAAGTGGTTTGTATCCATGTTGAAGTTTGGGAAGCAGTGGATAGGAGAGCAAGATCAGCTGGCCTTCTCTGTAGGGTCGCCCCACAACCAGAGGTAATAGGAAGGCCAGGCAAGTTATCAAGTACTGTTTTCATTATATTACATTTCATTTTTAACATTGTTTTGTTTTACTTACCTTTTCTCTAGAGTAACAGAGCTTTATCCATAAGTCTTAATTTTATCCATAAGTCTTTATCCATAAGTCTTAATTTTATTATATATTTTTTATTTTTTTGTGACCACTGTGAGTTGACTAGGTAGCAAACCAGTGTTTCACAGTGAGCTAGGAAGTCATTGAAAGCATTACCTAAAAAATGACATGTAGTCAGAACCACACAGAAGGGGCTATGGCTGGTGCCACAGAGCGCACAGAACAAGGCTGTATGCACAGCTGCACGATGGACAGGTGTTCCATAACAGGCTTATATCCATATGTTACCCGAGTTTCCAGCTGGAACAGCAGTCCCGCTAACTGAGTAGATAGCTGCATCCACTACACTGTAAACTTCTGAGGAGTGGGGATCATGGATCTGTTTTATACTGTCTGACCAACAGTAGACGAACAGGTGAATAAGTAGCATGGAAACCCAGGTTCATGCTACAATACTCTGCCCCTTCCCTTTCAATCCTGCAAAGGCAGGAATCTCCAACCCATTCCTGATTGCCAAGAAGTTACTCCCCACCCGTGAGGTCTCTGCCGTGGCTCCCATGAAGACCGCTGGAGGGGCCTCTTCCCCTTCACTACGCGAATTAGCACCCGCTTCCTCATCTTGAAGACACTTGGAGGACTCGGACAGATAAACACTGCACATTCAACAGATATATATATATATTTTCCAAGATAGGGCATAAGTGGTTATTTTCAACGTCTCTTTCTTCTGCTGCTGAATGGACTTTACAGAGGTTGAACTTTTTGTGCCCTTTCAGTAGCTGTGATGCTACCCCATTAGCCCAACTGAAAAAAGCAGGAACAAGAACGAGGAAAGAAAGTAAAGATCAGTCACAAAGACGACTAATTGTGTTCTAAATAAATGACATGAAATTAGCAGAGGAGGCTGGGGTGGAGGAAGGTTATGCTGGAAAAGACCGACCCTTTGATGTTGGAACAGCGGGTTGAAGATTAACCAACCAAGCAGAATAAATGGGAAGAGAGGATTTACAGTAATTTGGGAGAGGAAGATAGGTCAGGCATGGCAACTGGTTCACAGACGTAGAATAACACCCACTACTCATTACGTCCCCGTGGTCTGAGACATGAGTTTATTAGCAAGCTCAGCAACTCTACTGATAATTTTGCTGCCCCTCCCCCCAAAGAGCTCTTATTCCTCTCAACAGCTATAATTCCTAAGGATGGTGGTGTAGCTCAGAGAGAGCTTTCCTTCCCATTTCCACACGATTCTCAGCCTGCAGACCTGAGCTTGAGAGCCACCCCCTGTGAAACCTCCCTCACTGCTGAGTTAGTCATTCCCTCCTCTGCACCCCAACACCTTAGGTTTGATAGCGATTTTTGTTTATCTGTGCTTCCTCCATAGGAGCTTGGGTTCCTGAAAAGCAGGGGCTTGGTCTTAATTATCTTTGGATCCCCATGACTTGGAACCAGAAAAAGTGACTGATAAACATGTGAGCCATGCCTGGTGGGCAGCGTGACTGCTGTGCAGGAACTGGGTGGCTCCGATAGGAGTCCCTGTGCAGAAATCACGACTGAGATGGTGAGTCTAACTGAGCCACTGAGAGAGACATGCTAAAAGGAGAGGAGAAGGATGGAGGATGTGTATGGAGTTAGCACCTCCACGGTATACCAGCACATGACTTCAAGCCACTTTTTTTTTCATGTATAAAGAGGAATTTCTTCTGAATACCTTTCAAGGTTATGAGGAGCAAAACAAATAGTGAATCTGAAAGCACTAGACTATTTATAATTGATCATACAAATTTAAGATAATAATATAAATATTTCAGGGGTGAAAGGTAAGGAAAGCAGACACTCTGTTGGATGGATGGATGGATGGATGGAGCAGCCATGAAGCAGCTAACAGGAAGATAAGGTTAGGAAGTGTCTAACTTCACATCTTGCCAGTCCATGCTCTCCTGTACACATCTGCGGAAGGATTATATATTTAGAAATGCGAAGATATGAGATATGTAATCTAACAAGTGCACATAAACTACACCCCTGGTCCAAAAGGTAGTAACTCCTTTCTCAAGTTTACTTAGCTTTTTGTAGTACCTTAACATGTATTTATTTTAGAGGCGTAAGTTCAATGTTTAATTGACATTGCACAGACTTCCATCAAGATACTGAAAGAAACATCATTATAGGCAATGACTTTATTTTTAAGTTTGAAGAGGAAAATGAAGTTCAAATGGAAAAAACACACAAACTGTTTCAAACAGTATCAGGGAAAATACACTATAGGAGCCTTTTATCAATGCTAACTCCAACCAAAAAACTAAGTTACAAGAATCCATTCTAAAGAAAATACAAAGTGTGCATTAAAAGCCAGTTTAACAGTTTGCTCTGCCAAGAGGTGAGTGAGCTAAAGGAACACGTTCTGAGTTTAATTTCATTAGGCAGTCTTTAAGTTTATAGTAAAGGAAAAAGTGGATCCATACAACTGTGCACCTAGCACGTGCCCTGTGTGCCTGGCGAAGTGGTGTAGGAAGGAGAAACTTAATTTCGCTGCAGCCATAGTGGTAACATTTAGACAATCTGTGGAGTGAGGGGGTCTGCATGCAGAGCCTAGAGAGCGAAGCCCCTTTCTAAAAGGCTCCCTGTGCTCCAGCAGATGGCTGTAAACTTGACCAGACTGCAGACCTGTGTCCTCCACCCTCCGGGTTGAGTGCATTAACTTTTCTATCCCTTTCCCATATTCTTTTTCACACGTCTATACATGTGCAGCAGATGGTAGGTAACAAAGAGAGAGCCATCAGCTGAGCAAAAAGCAGAACCCCATGTTCCGGAGGAGGCATCTGAAAACCAATCACCTCCAACTTCTGCTTAGATGGGAATATTTTAAATAATGAAATGACATTAAACACAAGTAATATCTTTTATGTCATCCTTTAGCAGCAGAATCTACCCTCTGTATTACATTACTTGGAATAACAGACTTGCATTTATCTAATGCTATTCTGTTTTCCTAGCTTGAAATTAACAATAGGTTTCCTTTTAAAAATATATATATTTTTATTGATTTCAGAGAGGAAGGGAGAGGGAGAGAGAGATTGAAACATCAATGATGAGAGAGAAACATTGATTGGCTGCCTCCTGCACACCTCCTACTGGGGATCAAGCCCCCAACCAGGGTATGTGTCCTGACTGGGGATCGAACTGTGACCTCCTTGTTCATACGTCGATGCTCAACCACTGAGCATCACTGGCTGGGCTATGTGACTTATTTTAACGAAACATCAAAAAATTTAAAAATTCTACATTAAAACACTGTTTAAAAAAACATAATGGTAAAATCTTAATTTTAATTTCTAAAAGTACTCCAATACTCTTCAAACACTAGAGCCATTTATAGCTGGAAAATAAATGTATGTGCTATACTATCTGTCTGCCTACCTATCTATCTGCCCACCAAAATGGCTAAAGTTAAAAAAAATTAACACCACCAAATGTTAGTGAGAATGTGGAGCAATAGAAATTCTCACACATTTCGTGTGTGCATGTGTGTGTGAAAGAAAGATATAACGAATTCAGAAAAAGGTCTAGCAGTTTCTTATGAAACGAAACATTCACCTATAACCCCAAAATTCCTCTCCTTCGCATTTTCCCAAGAGCAATGACAACATATGTCCACAAAACTGCATAAAAATGTTCATAGCACTACATTTACAACAGTCAGAGGAACTTTTGTCTATCAATAGGAAAATGGATAAGCAAACTGTAGAACAGTCATACAGAAGAATCCTATTCATCAATAAGAAGAAACAATCTCCTGATAAAAGCAACAAAGGGATGGATCTCAAAAGACATAGTGACTAAGAGAAGCCAGAGTACATAATGTATTTATATGAAGTTTTAGAATAGGCATAAAGGTAATCTATGGTGGAAAAAATCCCTAAGGCAGTGGTCGGCAAACTCATTAGTCAACAGAGCCAAATATCAACAGTACTTCTTCAAAATAGACTCGCCCAGGCCGAAAACCAACTTCTGCGCATGGGCCATGAAGTTTCAATCACACTGTATGCCCACACGTGGTATTTTGTGGAAGAGCCACACTCAAGGGGCCAAAGAGCCGCATGTGGCTCGAGAGCCGCAGTTTGCCAACCATGGCCCTAAGGGATAAGGCAGAGATTTACTGAGAAGGGACATGGAGAAACTTTCTGAAAGGATGGTAATATTCTGTTTCATGATGGCATTTGGAATTGCGCAGATGTATGCATTTGTCAACACAAGATGTGTATGTTTCCTTGTATGTAAATTTCCCTATGAGAAAAAAATCATAAATAAATACCTTGAACACTAATGAAGGACATGCATGCTGCAGTATTTCGAGGAAAGACCACTGACAGCTGAGACATACTTTAAAATGCATCAACAAATAAGATGGATTAATGACTAGACAAAAGAATGAACAAATTATAGATAAGAAATGAAGCAAGTAAAATGTTAGTTGTATGTAAGTGGTGAGGATGGGTACTCACCGTAAATTTTTCATTTTTTTTTTAATATGGGCATTTTCACAAAATAAGTTCAAAGTAATCTGTTATCGTCCTACAACAGCATCATTTAAACATTTATTTTCTAGATCACTGCATAAGCAAAGCGAAACTAAGCAGCTTTTTTCCTTTTTGAGTGAAAAAGATTAAAGTTTTACATGTAAGTTCAAATACCAAATCAATACACGTACACTTACTTCACAGTCAATAAAGCCCTCACTTGATGCCAAAGGAGAACAAGGGCATCTCATCAGGTGTTACAAATCCAAACACACCTGAAGGACTGTTTTACAAATAACCACATCTTTCCCTTGCCCACCTCTCCAAGTGATGGGTTCTAACAAGTCTCTCTTGTTATATAAGCAAATGCTAACAGACTTGAAACACAACCCAGAAGATTTCCCCACTCCCAGCTGGGTGTAACCCTAAATTCCACCCTGTTGCGCCGGACCTCCCTCAAGAGCTCATCAGAGTTATTTGTGTGAATTTCTTATAGCTTCTACGCATCTGAATCCCACAGGGCACCAAGCACAGAACTCGGCTCTCTGGAGCTGTGCAGTAAATCACTGTTCAGGTTGTTTTCCATGGTTTATGGTAAAGGCAAACAGGGACCGCACACGGGGTAAATTTGTCTATCTGCATTAAAAAAAGTGATGTAACTTCTCTGGGCCTCAAATTCCTCTTCTATAATGTGAGACTGATAGGATTGATGTGAAGATTAAAAAAGGTAACCTACTCAGGTCCTTCGCATTGTGCCTCACATGCAGTAAGACCCTATATGTGTTTGCTAGTCATTATTTCTTCGTATCTAGGTCAATGAAGCTGAGAGTGCCTTTTACTATTAATTACACTGATTTAACATTAAGGATAGCTTAGATACCTAAATATTTACCATTCAAAGAATTTAGTATATTAGTTACCAAAATAAACCTTACTTCCAGGTTTTCAGGGTCAAAATACAAAAACTCAGGACCACTTTAAATACAGCATTTGGTAGCAAATAAGCTGCTTCAGGTTTTCCTTGCATATGGGTCCACAGAATTTAGAACTTAGTCCATGGAGTTGACCATCTAAAGTCTCAGGGCAGGAAGGGACACCAAAGTCACTCGTCCAAACCCTTCTCCAGACTCATTGAAAGCACCCTCTGCAGTCCTCTTCCCTATTCTCCTCAACCTCCCCTATGGCGGGAGATCTGCTTTGCCCACCCCTCAACCCACTGGAGCTCAACTGACCCACCCTCCACATTATGGCAGAATGAGTCCCCTAAAGACACCCACACCCTCACTTCTGGAACCTGCCAATGTGTTACATTAAATGGCAAAAGGGACTGCAGAGGTTAACTAAGGTGATAGAGTGTAAGAGGGAGATTTTCCTGGATTGTCCAGAAGGCTCAAACTAATCACCTGCGCCCTTAAACGCAAAGAACTTTCTCTGGTTGTGGTCAGAGACAAGGCGGAAGAGATGTCTGAGAGATGTGCGGTGTGAGGACTGGACCTGATGCTGCTGTCTTGGCAAAGGAAGGGGCAAAGCGGCGAAGAATACAGGTGGCCCTAAGGAGCACGAAAGGCTCCCACAGCCAGCAACGACACAGGGACCTCGGCCCTCTATCCACAAGGAAATGAATTCTGACAATTTGAATGAGTTTGGAAGCAAATTCTTTCCAGAGCCTTCAAAAAGGAGCATGGCCCTACTGATGCTTTGATTTTGGCCTAATGAGACCCTAAGCAGAGAGTGACCTGAGCTGTGCTGTGCTCAAACTTCCCACCCATGGAAACTGTGGGGTAGTATTGAGTGCTGTTTCCAGCTGTTATATTTCGATACTCTGTGAGGGCAGCAACAGAGAACTAATGCAATAATCCTTAAAATATCTGAGGTTCCCTAAATGGTCTCCCTGCACCTTTTTTGTTCTAAATCACACATTCTCTAGGATGGCCCATCTTTCCTAAATAAGACTTTGAGGCCACCTTTTTGATCTGCCTTGCTTTTAACAACATGCCTGAAGCCCTCCAACCAATCAATTTAGTTCAGCTCTTCTGGGGCTGAGCCTGTGATGGCTAACAAGGAGGAGCTTCTGTCGGAGGGCTGTGTGACCACAGGGGCCTGCAGGTCCAGCCCAGTACTCAACAATGTCATGGATGGACAATCATATGACATGCATCATGACAAAGCCAAACGGCCTGATTTCAAGCTCTCCTTTGAATGTGCTGTGGAGGTTCAATCAATCTTAAATCTGGCATCCAGGACCAAATACAATCCTTCAGGTATGGTCCCACCAGCACATGACACAACAGAATTATGTCCTAATCTGGTTTCTAGAAACTAGGCATTCACCAGGGCATCCCAAGACCACTCTGGCAGTGTTGGTAACCAAGTCATACTTTCTACTCACTTTTTACTTAATTAGTCACCTACAAGATCCAAGCCTTTTTTAAAAAAAAAAGAAAAAATTACATTTCTTCCTTTCTATCTTGAAATTTTGTTAACTTTAACGCATTCTTGGAGTTTACCATCTAAACTGCCCGCGGAGGTTTTTTTTTAACCTAGATTTTGCAACAGACTGAATGCTTGTGTTCCCCAAAATCTGTATGTTGAAACCTAATCCTTAATGTTATTGTATTTGAAAGTGGTGCCTTGAGAGGTGATTATGTGAGGGTGGAGACCATATGAATGGAATTAGTGACCCCATATGAAGACACCAAGCTCCCTTGCTCCTTCTACTATGTGAGAAAATATCAAAAAAGATGGCTGTCTATTAACCACCCTGATCAGACACCAAATCTGCCAGTGCCTTGATCTTGGACTTCCCAGCCTTCAAAACTGTGAGAAATAAATTTTTGTTGATTATAAGCCACCCAGTCTAAGGCATTCTGTTACAGCAGCCTGAATGGACTAAAACACCTCCTTTTCACCTTTGTTTCATTAGAAAGTATAATCAATTTCCCAGAAATGTACTCATCCAAACCATTAATAAAATATTATTAATAAACTATAAATTATTAGCCTGATAATAACCACACAATGAAATTAAGAAGAAATGAAATGTTAACAAAATATTAAGATCCAAGTTACATGTGCTTTAATTATTTCTGCTAAAATAAATTTCCATTAGAAAGTGCTTTTATTGTACTGAACTTCTCTCCAAGAGGAGAGATATAAGCTGTAAAGGGTACAAAGGAAACGAACTACAACCACACCCTAATCTCAATAGCATGGAGAGGAAGAGGGTGAACTTCATCCATTGAAACTGCTACCAATTATGTTTTGAAATCTGAAGTCTTACTAATCTGACTCACCTTATTGATTGAGGATAGTTTTAATGTCTTTAGTTCAGCTCTGTCAAAACTGTATTAAAAATCACATTTAAAATATCCCCCTCTATATGAATTCAATACTTTTCCTACTCAAATTCTGAGTTCAAAAAAGTAAATTCAAGCAAATAAAATGTTCATCTGACTTGAAAATAGTTGTCTTTCCTCATAAACTCCTGCTTCTCTATCCCTGTGGGGTGCAGGGTAAAACAAAACAAACCAATCTTTTATAAACTCAATACTAACTTCCAAGCTTTCTTTTCCTCAGCCAGCTTTTCCTATGCCATTTGCCAGGAAAATATTTGAATATGTGTTTGTATGTTTTACTTGTGAAATATTTGATGAACATATTAAATCTATATTTGGTCATCTTTTTTTTTTAATCCTTACCTGAAGGTATGTTTAGAGAGAGGAAGAGAGGAAGAGAAATCAATGTGAGAGAGAGAAACATCGATCGGTTGCCTCTCATACATGCGCTGACCTGGGATGGAACCCACAACCTAGGTATGCGCCTTGACTGGGAATTGAACCTGCAACCTTTTTGGTGTATGGGATGATGCTCCAACCAATTGAGCCACCTGGCCAGGGCCATATTTGATTATCTTATTTCCCAATGGAATTTAAGTAATATGAGCTTTCTACAATTGTTTCTGTAATTATTTTATTCAGAGCATCATATGACATTGGAAACCACTATAAAAGCAATATTTTCCAATCTATGCAGTCACTGCTTAAATATCTGATCACTAAAAGAAGTTTTCTTACAATTTTTAGAAGCACTCTAGGAAATAAAACTTCCTGTGTCTGACTATGGATAAATTCTTTTTTTTTTAATTTTTTAATTATTTCACAGAGGAAGGGAGAGGGAGAGATAGAAACATCAATGATGAGAATCATTGATCAATTGTCTCCTGCTCTCCCCCTACTGGGGATTGAGCCTGCAACCCGGGCATGTGCCCTTGACCGGAATTGAACCTGGGACCCTTCAGTCCGTAGGCCAACACTCTATCCATTGAGCCAAACCGGCTAGCGCTGGATAAATTCTTGGAATATGCAAAAATAAATATAACAGACAACTAATAGCTGTATTTTTAGTTATTATTTAGTGTTAGTTGGTTTTATCTTATTCAGGAAACTTGCCTAATTTCATTAAAAGTATCTTAATGCCCTTTATGAATTTATTTTTCCATTTCTTTTCCAATTGGATTGTAAAATATCACAGGGTAGAAACCTCTAAATAATCAAGCTTCCACAAAAATATACTGCACCCCCTCCACATCACCCTTTTTTGTCTAATAAGTAGCATACTATATTCATACAGCAGATACTCAATACTGGACTTAGGATTTCAAGAGCAGAAAAGAGAATATAGTTGTAGGTGAAGGGAAGTGAGGATGTACACCAGCCATCCAGGGGGCAAGGAGTGATACATTCCAGCTGGAGAAGACCATTCAAACTGGTGAAGAATAGATCAAGTTGGAAAAGGCAGGAAGACTGTAAAGGCCAGGCTTAGTCATTAGACACACTTTGGGCAACATGAAAATACTAGTGTTTCTGCAGGGAAGAGACATGACTAAAATGGTGTTTGAAGAGGGACATCATGGAAGAGATGATGGACTGAAAGGACAGACTAAAACAGGGACCCTCTAGGATGAAGGTATGCAAAGTAGTGAAAATGAAGAGAACTGAATGAATGAATGTTTATGAGATATGTTGGGAAGATGAGTATGATACATTAATGAGTGGTAAGGTCTTCAGCCTTAAAATAAATGAGTGGTTCCTTCCCTTTCTCCATTATTTACTTACCTCTTTGGCCAAAGCCCTAAAATCAAGAAGATTCAAACTTCTCTCCATTCTTGAGTTCATTTCCTTGGGAAGAGACTCGAGCCAGGACACTTCATTATCCTTCTCCTTCTCCCAGCCCATAAGGTTTGAATCCCACACTAAGTTGCCAGTGACCCCTTCAGCTGCTGTTCTGGGACCTGCCCAGATGTCATATGTCTTCCTTCTCAGGACTACACTGAACTTAATTCCTCTGCTCCCAGGTGAGATGGAAAATACACAAGAGAAGTGCAGTAGTTTCACACTTCCTGTATTCCCTATGAGGTGTAGTGTCAAGGATAATCCAGGTGTTTACGCTGCCTCTGCCCTCTGCCTGCACCAGTGTGTCCTCAATTGTTCATGTGGTCCAGGCCCAGAGTTGGTTGGATTCATTTGCCTAAGAGAGGCAGAGAAATATCAGAAGGGCTGTGCTGAGACTATGAAACAACATGGGGGAGGCCATTCCAAGTTGAAGGGGGGACCCTACTGTTTCATTGTATGAAGGCATTGGGGGCCTATGGTGACATTAAATCACAACTTTCTTTTACAACATTTATTACCAATAGATATCTTTCAATAAAAATTAGAGCAAAGCTTAAAAGCAAGCAACATTTCTACTAGAGTGGCTTGTGGCTACACGTTCTTTCTTCAGGTGTGAACAATCCCAACCCTGGGAGGAATACAGAGGTCTCACACACCTTGCTTACAAATAAAAGTCACATCTCACTGATTTCATCAGGGGAAAAATTAGTTATTTTGGTGGCTGTAGTAAGGGTCCTGGAGGCAATCCTCAAAGATTCCCAACATGGCTCCAATTTGGCAGAATTTTGCTAAACAGATGCAAAAACTTCATGCATTTCTCCGTTACATTTAGTGGCTTGGACCCACGAAGTAGTCTACACTCCACCATTACCCTGACTGTACAGGTGCAGCTCTTTCATAATTCTTGAGGATTAGGGTTTGTATTAGTTTCCTACAACAAATTACCACAATTCAGTGGCTTAAAACTACATGGATTTACTATTTTACAGTTCTAGAGGTCAGAAACCCAAAATCACTATAATTGGGCTAAAGGGAAGATGTCAGCAAGGCAGCATTCCTTCTGGAGGCTCCAGGGGAGAATCCGTTTCCTTGCCTTTTCCGGCTTTAGAGGCTGCCTGCATTCCTTGGCTCACGGCCCCTCCTCCACCTTTACAGCCATCAATGTAGTACCCTCAGTCTCTCTCAGACGCCACCTCTCTTGTGAGGATCCTTGTGATCAAATGGGGCCAACTGATAACCAAGACTATCCAAGATCCTTAAGTTAATCAATTCAATGAAGTTCCTTTGCCATGTCAAGTAATATATCCATAGGTTCCTCCTGATGTCTTACGTCACTTCATGGTCTTTCAACTGATCACCATGCTCCAATAACTCAAATTTGAGTTTAGCAAAGAACAGACCTCTCAGAGAGAAGAGAGACAGCCAACCATTCACTTCAAATGTTATGACAGATTGTAGCTTCTCTGAGATGAACAAAAAGTTAGCATATCATTGCAAGATTAGATAATGAGCTGTAACATCAAGATCATACAGTAGAAGGCGGAGCCTGAAGTCCTTCACCCAACTCTGACCTCTTTCATGCATAAAAGTGCTGGGCTTCAAACATACATCCCTAAAGAGCACATCTGCACAGTTCACTGCTCTTCAAGGACAGCCCCCTCTATCAAGCCAGCCTCAATGCAGTTTGTAAGACATGGAGAAAGGCAAAATTAGTCAATACTTCAGAAAAACAGTTTCTGTAACATTAAAAAAAAGATACTATAAACACTTTGGAGCAAATGAGATGAAACAATAAAAATATGCAATCATATTCTAGAACTAGTTCAAATTGTGATTAGCAAAGCCTCACTGTGACAACTGTTGCTTTTGAAATCCCTTTGCTGATTCGAAGCAGCTACAGTAAGAAGAGAGAATCTGAAGCCAAACCTTAAATCTTATCTTGAATACATAAATAGCAAAATTGTGCCAAGAAGTTTTGCAAGATGTTAGTTTCCTCATAACATAGCAAAGATTAGTTTAATAGAGAAGGTGTCATTTAGTTCCAAGAATCTAATGAAAATACTGTAGTATATGATCTGTGTGTTCCAGGTCTCTAAGATTTTCCCAAGTAATTTCTAAGTCCTGTTGATATACAGTATCTGTGTGTACACAACTCATATTAAAGTTTCAACAATGATTCAAGTAAGTTTCAACAGTGAAAGTAAGTAAAACTCCTACAAATTAGGTTTCAGAGAAGGTAAACATTGGAGTTTTCTTCTAAAAATGCGTGTTAACAATGATGACTGCATGTTGCACTACAACAGCGATTTTCACTACAATAGCTATTCTGTGCCACAGAATTTTGTAATTAGTTTATGTGTGCCTTGAGATGATAAAGGTTGAAAATTGCTGCACTACAGTTTATGGACTAGCTGTCTTCAAACCTTCATCAGTGCAGCACTGATCATGTGCAAAATAATCTACAAACTGTTGTGGGAAATGCAAAGTGAAATGAGATGCGGCAATTGTCTTCATTGTGTATGTGACCCAGAAGAGTAGAGAAAACATGAATTTAAAAACTATGTAAATGTGTCAAGATGGCTCTAAGAACTCAGTGGGGTGAGAGTGACCTTAGGATGTCCAAGGAGATATTGTCCATTCCCATAAAATGATACTAGCTCGAAATCCAGATGCCAGGTAGTAAGACCCAACTTATGGCTCCTGGGCTCAACTCTTTAAAAAGCCATCCTTATCCAATCAAGAAAGTAATCTAGGTGGGAAAATATTCAACTTGATCATAGACTAAGATTCTCTTAGCCGTGGCATAAATACCCTCACAGGTTGATCATTTCTCTTCCACTTCACAGAATATTCCATTTCTGAGAGTTGAGTTACCTGATCTGAATTTTAGCAGTAAGATCTCTGTTAAATGTGGTCTCCAACCTACACTTAGGTTTTATCATGACTTCCCCACCCCGCCCCCTCACCGCCCAGTGGAGGCCAACCAAGCCTTCCCCTATTTTACAAGTGCATGAACTTAATATTACATCTCAAGTGCAAAACAAAAAATTCAACGCCTTCTTTGGAATTAATGGCCTCCTTGAAATGCAAGTATCATTCATTAAAATAGCTGATTCAAAGAGAGGTAGGGTATTAAGAGGCTACAACTGAACACCAATGATCTAATGTCCTAAACATTCATTTCCTACATGAAGAGGCATGAGTCTTTTTGTACTGTATCAATGTTCCCCTTCCATAATATACACTACAAATTTATACATAATTCATAATTGTCACATTATACCGTAGCTATAGCAAAAGCAATGCATGAAAGAGATGCTGGCAAATGGTACAGCAAGGGATGGACATGAAAACCTGTAATTCAACATGTAGGTAACAAACTAAACCCAGCAGCCTGTGGTGGAACCTCCTCTCTGTCACAACATCAGGCGTGAATGGCCATCCAGGTTCTTTGCTCCGGTATTTGTTACATGGGGAGAGAGTTAGCATGAGGATGGGTAAGGCAGAGTCTGAGCAAGAGGACCCTGGATGGAGCGATCTTGGTCCATCCTGTCAGCAGGACTGACTTCACAGTTCACACACCTTTCTGCAAGGAGAGGACATGGCAAGGAGCTGGGGCGCGGGGGCTGCAGGGGGCCCCGTGGGAGACCTGGAGACCTGAGAGGCCCGGGGAGGCCGGCATCCTGCAGATGCTCCTCTGGGGCGGCCACAAATGCGCGCAAAGGAGGCTTCGTGCCCCCCCTTACCCCCGCAAATAAATTCGTATTTTAAAGACAAAAGACAGGCTCGTGGCCTTTCTCAGAGGCGACCACATTACTTCCAGGGCTGGAAAGCAAATTTGCAGAGGCCAAAGATTAGACAAAAGGCAGGAGCTGGCGACATACAGACCTGGAAAGGATTGCTGTTGATTTAAAGTGCTCAGGGCCTCCCAGTTCCAATTCTTCCTCCCCTTCCGGGAGCGATTCCTGGGCCGATGAGGACACCCCTCAAGGCCTGGAGAAGACGTCGGACAGGGAGGAGGAGGGGACCCCCAAAACTTTCCCGAACTGCGGCAGGCCGGTGGCTGGCAGCAGCCGCGGACCCTGGAGTCCCAAACTGCAGGGGGCATCCCCGGGGCAGCGGCCACCCCCTCGCCACCACAACAAAAGGGCCGAGCGCAGCTGCCTTCGCGCCCGGGTTTCCAGCACCCGAGCCCGGAGCGGCGAGTGGGCGGCGCGACCCGGGGGCTGCCCCAGTCGCCGGGGCGAAGGAGACGGAGCCGCGTGTCCGTGTCCCGGCATAAAGAAAAGGACCT